TTTCTTTATTATATTCTATTCCTACTTCTAAGCTAGGTGCTATTCTTTATATTTATTTTTATACCGTTTTTTTCTGTTGTTTTATTCGCTGACGAAGGCTTTCTGCCGACACGTTTGTTGTTTTGTTGCGTTCCTTGTTTTCAAGCTTAACCCTACTTTGTTTTACTCATTTTTCTATTCCTCACCATGCCCTTGACAGAGGAGCTCGATCCTTTGGCACGGGGCAGGTGAGTCGCCCTCACCAAGCCCTTGACAGAGTCAGAGGAGCTCGATCCTGTGGCACGGGGCAGGTGAGTCGCCCTCATCAAGCCCTTGACAGAGGAGCTCGGTCCTGTGGCACGGGGCAGGTGAGTCGCCCTTACGGGACGCCTAAATGTACCGTTTCTAAAAACCAACACACTTTCAAATCACTTAAACTTCCTAATTTATAATATAAATTATAAATTCAAGTAATATTTTGGCTAACTGTGTAGCCAGCGCCTGTAGTGATGTGGGCTAGTGTGATGGCTTGGGTCGGACAATGTCAACTTGTGAATTATTATTATTATAGATTTCCAGCCGACGGTATACTGCAGCTCCCAAAAACAAAAGCAAAAAAAAACCCCCGTGAAAATGAAGCTTGTAGGACCCGTTTTTTTGTTTTTTTTGCTGCTGAAAGTATTGATTGATTGATTAGATATTTCTATAGCGCTGGTATCCATGCCACTTTAGCATGCTCAATGCGCTCTGGTGTTCTTAAATCTATTTAAACAAAAAATTATTAAAATGTTTCTTAAATGATTTTCTTATCATTTTCAATTCCCCTCAAAGATTGAGGCAAACTGTTCCATAATTTTGGCGCAATCGCTTCAAAAGAGCGCAATCCGTAAGACTTTTTTCTGCGGTGTTCATTCACACTGGGAATTTTCAGTAAGGTCTGTGTTGAGGACCGGAGGTTCTTTAAGGATACATATACATTTTTATAAATCAGTTCTTTAAGGTATTCCGGTGATGAGCCATCTGTGCAGCTGAACGCCGGGCACACAATGTTGTAGGTTATGCGCTCACTCACAGGAACCCAATGGAGATCAAGAAGCTTCTGGTCACAGAATGTTGAGAATGCAAGTGAGGAATCCACATTGTGACCAGTAACTTAGCCTTGATAATGATGATGCAATTAATGCAGTGACTGAGGTCATGGATGGAGAAACAATTAATTGGTTGTCAATGGAAACAAACATAGGACGTGTTAGAAATACGTCTCAGTGGATCTACCTCAAATTACCTAAAACGGGAAATATGGATGATGTGTTCCCCTTTTATTCGGGAGTTTCTCATAAGGACGAATGAAAAGATTTCGGCTGTCTGCTGACACTTTTTTTTTTTACATGTCCAGATTCCTAATATATATTTTTTTCATTTTGTTCAGTATTAATGCTCTATTCCCAGAAAGATGTCTGCGTAGACTCTGTGAAGATATGTTAGAAAATTTTGAAGATGGAAATACCAATTTTCTCTGCGATGTTCAATGTTAAAATGGGTTTTACCTGTGTGTCTGGAACTGTCCAGAGGACTGTTGGCAATTTAACCAAAACAAAGTTTGTTTCAACATTAGCTGACATATAAAGCGGTGTAATATTCTACGACAAGGGATATGAAGCCTTAACAAGTTATGGAAGATATATCAATTTATTTCAAACATCTTGAACTGAGATCTCTGTACATTTCTGACTTGCATCAATGTAGCAGCGATTATGGAACCATCTTAAGAAATAGTATCCAACTGTAGTAATAATAAAGAGCTCTGTGTATTTTAGCCATTCAGGATTATAATTCAACTCAGAGTAACATTGTAAAGCCAAAATGATGGAGAGAGATTAGTATAATGTATGTAAATTAAAGGTTACTCATCATTCATAGTGTGTTCGGTATATCTCTGCGGAGCCTTCCAAACGCAACATTTGCTTTGGCCATTCTGTTGTTGATCTTTGAAATCTATTGCACTCCCGTGAAGAGCGTGCTGCCCAATTTTTTTAAAATATAATTTTCCAGTCCAAAGAGATTCTGTATCTTCACTGATAATTTAGGTTATTTGTAAGCTTTTCCTGGAGCTGGCCGGTGCAAGTTCTCTGCTTTTATTCCGTATTGAAGGCTAGGCCGTTGTTGTCGCTGGCCTTTGCAAATAATCAATGTTTTTTAAAAAAATATTTTCAGTTCCAAAATGATATTTTAGGCACAGTCATGAGGTCTCGAATAACCGATTCTTTAACGTTCGTAATAGCTTGGAGTCTCCAAAGATTAAATAGCCCTCGGTCAGTCCTGTACCGTAAAGTATCGCCGTTACAGTCACGAAAAGCTTCAGTCAGCACTGATGAGAGCATCGTGCTAAAAAAAAGTGTTCAACCCCACCTGTTTTAGGAAAAGCCACAAAAATCATCTCCAGAATCCGTGATTCTGGCCATTATACTGTCATGGAGTTAAGGCACTACTGAAAAGTAATTGTGGTATTAACGCAGGTAACATGGGGCAAAAGTTATTGTGGTACTGTTTAATAATGTTCATGTGAACCGTTGTATGTATTTGCATTTCCCTGGATTATTTCACGTTTTTTTGTTTATGCACTCTTAGATTTTAGAACCGTTCCGCGAGATGGACACGTTTTTCATGACATTGATACCTTTTCTAAATATTTATTTACTTTACTTCGATTATCATTTTAAAAGAAAATCAAAATTGAGCTTTTCAGTGAAAACATCTTTAGTTTTCTTCAACATTTCCAAATAATTCTAAAGGGGCATACTATCGAGATGAAAGTATTTAAGAATTTTAATGTACAACTTTTAAACCAAAAGAAATTAGAAGAAATATGAAATGAAAATGAAGGCCGTTACCACGCATTTGAAACATCCATATTTGGTAATGTGATAGCAATCTTTTAATTCTCTTTTCCTTTAAGCCTAAACATATCTTGTTTCATTATGCATTTATTTATTTTCATAATATCAATGACTGTAAGGAATGTATTTGGGACTTAGATGTATTGTGCTTGGTGGTGATGTGAAATGGTTCTCAATAATCCAATGATTCTCAGCCTGTTTTCTTTTACCCATGGACCAGTTGCAACTTGAGGATCACCTCTCAAATCAGCGACTAAAGATTTTATAACATTGTAAACCAATGACAATGGCAACTTTTCATCGCTATAGACATATGTCTTGTAATCGAATATATAGTAAGTTCATTAACAGCTTGAGAACCATACCTCTGATCTAATTATTGCGATAACTGACTGAACTCTTTCGTTGCTAAAAGGAATCTATGAATAACGATAGATAAATATTTTAAAAAAATTTGTGGTTAACTTATATTATTATTAGTAGTATCCCGAGGATTTAGGTATAATGACACTTCAGTTTTTCTTTAAGGAAATTTTAGCACCATTAGCTGTTGTTTGTGTAATCATGTTTAAACACTGAAGAAACACTTTATAAAACAGAATACTTTATTTAGTAACAAAATAAAATAAAAATGCTACGACGTCACAACGTACCCTCCAAGCAAACGTTGATTGAGCTTGCCTCGATATTTAAATAGGGCACACCGAGCACGTGATAGAAATTAGATATCCTATAAACGCACGAAACGGAGTCAAAGTAAAGAAATATTACTCTACATATTTACAACAACAAAAATAATTACAAACGAAACTTGTTAAAATCTATACATACTCATACAATTACCAGCGTGTTGCTTAGGCTGTTTGACAGCATACATTGTATATCATTTTAGAAAAATATAAAAATGATAATATGTATGTATTTTCATAGACGCATATTGATATTAATTGAAATATAAATAAATAAATAAATTGAGTTGCACTGCCCCAAAAATTAGTTTTACAGTTGGTTGTGTTTAAATATATCTTAAAACAAATGTTACTCTTTATCAGTTTTTAACTATCTAATCATGGAATTACCTGGCAAATTGATAACTATTTAATGAAGCATTGAGTTACCTGTCAAGTTAATAACTATTTAAACATTGAATTGCCCGGCAAATAAAAAAAAAAAAATTAACATTGAATGAAAATTTTATCTTACAACATCAATTGTTGTATTTTTTTTTGTGTGCTTAAATGTTTTAAAATAGATATCACACAAAAATTATGGAATGTAGGAATTGTATATTCTATATTTATCTTGTTTTTTTTTTTTTTTAAATATAATTACCACTTGTCAAAAATGGCCCAACTAGAACACATAGCATGCTTAATAGTGTCTAGTTCTCTTATTGGCCTGTAAGAAGATACATCATTGTCTATTTGGTCTATTCTCATAATATGGACCAGTTCGAACATACAGCTAGCTCTTGGGTTTCTAGTTCACACATGGCTGAGTAAGAATATACAACATTTTCTAGTTTGTCTAGTTCTTAAAGGACCCCAAAGAGCATAAAAACATGTTCTGGGTTGTCTGTTTCATTTTGGAGCAGTAAGAACAGACATCATGTTCTGGTGTGCCACGATGAAATATGCATACAACATTCGAGATATTCTCTTTGGTGTCAGAAGGCTATTGTCGGTTCTTAGGCACCATGTCTTATAGCTGTTACGTTTGGTGCGTGAGATCAGTCAGAGCTGCAGTCAGCAAGGTGAACAAATGGCTTTAAGGATAAATACCAAATACATAGATGCGATGCAGCAGTGGGTAGGCACGGGGCTGAGGTACAACTTCATCAAGTCCAATCACTGCAGCTCTACCAGTATTATGTGGCAACTTATTTCAGTTTTCATTATATGGTCGTCCCATTACGCATATTCCCAAAACCCATTCGGACGTTCCTTTTGAAAAATACGCTAAACCAATTCAGCTGTTACATGCAAAAAGACACCACACCATTTGTATGACGGGGTGCTGGGTGGCCGAGTGGTCTAAACTGAGCAAATCTCAAGTTGGTGGTCTGGAGTTCAATTTCAGCTAGAGCAAAAACACCACCAGCACCCCGGGTAGATGGGACCCGTTAACCTTGGACGGCAACTCATCTAAGAGAATGGAAACTCTGAAATCAAACCCGGAGATGGAGTCCCGAAAGGCGGATAACATTGATACAATGAAACATTCCGACAACTCCTGCGACGTCACTGGTGCCAAGCTGTATCATCTATGATGTTCCCTTGGGTTACCCAGCGGCGTGGAGAGAGGCGATTTGCTGATGGGAACCAGCTTATAATCCTTCAAGTATAATAATCCCAGGCTATGTGGATTTCGTCCTACGAAGCCCACTCCATCGTCACATTGTGACGGACGGATGCCAGCAAAAAAAAAAAAAATTTGTATGACCGGATCACGTCTGACTAGTTGTAACATTTGCAAAACCCTGGGTACTCGACCAGTTCCAGCCTGGCGTTGGCGAAAGTGATCATGTCGTTTTCGTGTGGAGGCTCTATTTCCGTCCCATCGTAGTCAATAACTAAGGCCTGGGTTCGAATCTTTTGCTGCCTACAAGTACAGCCTCGTGTGCAGCCTTTGATATGGCTAAACATAAAGAAGGAAAAAAAAAATATAAGTACTAACAAATTTATTTTTATTTGTATACCTTTGTGTGAAATTTTCAATATATTATCTTGATTTAGCATAATAAATATCGCAGTCTTTGTTATATTAATATTAATTAACGCTTCGTTGAAACTTCACAAATGTAAATTTTAACTTTATAAAAAAAATAGGTATCACATCCTCTCACAAACAAAATATATTAATTGCAAACCTGCAGACATCTTGAAGAAATATCTGCTTTGTGCTCTTAAACTGGACAAGCCTTCTTACTACGCCTAGCCCGTTCAGCAGCGTGTTAGGGGAGAAATATTGGGGGTACCTGTTGGACGTAAGAAGATATGAAGTGGTCGTAAAAAAATGACGTCAAGCGACGACGGATAGGGTCGTAAGGCAATGTTCCAATATTTAAAAGTAGCAGTCTTTATCCTGATTATTTTTAATTAATTTGCACAACATGGTTACTTTTATTCTCCTTTGTGTTGGACTTATATTTATGTAGTTCATGGTTAGTTTTACCTCATTTTGTTGTGTACTTGTATCTACGTGGTTCACAAAAGTTTGTGTGGGCCCTTTAACAAACACTTCAATCCACATTCACCTTAATCCGCATTCACCGTAATCCACATTCACCTTAATTCACATTCACCTTAATCCACATTCACCTTAATCCACATTCACCTTAATCCACATTCACCTTAATCCACATTCACCTCAATCCACATTCACCTTAATCCACATTCACCTTAATTCGTTCGTGTTGATGTTTTTATTTACTGTAATATTTTGCCAACACTTTGATACTTCTAAAACCGCACAGCGTTATGTTCAGGGAACAGTGTCCCGTCAGCTCTACATCATGAAATAAATGAAACCGGCTCATCTTATGAGGCACGACAGCTAGGGCATTATGCAAGCTGACTTAAGTCAACTGACGAGACACGACAGCCAGGGCATTATTTAAACTGACTTAAGTCAACTTACGAGACACGACAACAAAGGCATTATTCAAACTGACTTAGGTCAACTGACGAGGCACGACAGCTATGGCATCATTCAAACAGACCTAAGTCAACTTACGAGACACAACAGACATGGCATCAGAAAAAAACTGACTTAAATCAACTGACGAGGCACGACAGACATAGCATCAGAAGAACTGACTTAAGTCAACTGACGAGACGCAACAGACATGGCATCAGAAAAACTGACTTAAGTCAACTGACGAGACGCAACAGACATGGCATCAGAAAAACTGACTTAAGTCAACTGACGAGACGCAACAGACATGGCATCAGGAAAAACTGACTTAAGTCAACTGACGAGACGCAACAGACATGGCATCAGAAAAGTTGACTTAAGTCAATTTACAAGAAACAACAGACATGGCATCAGAAAAACTGACTTAAGTCAATTTACAAGAAACAACAGACATGGCATCAGAAAAAATGACTTAAGTCAACTTACGAAGCGCAACATCCATGGTAGCGTATTTTATTTTCTTTTTGCCTTTGTATTTTCGGCTCCTTCTCCGTGTCTGTGAAGGTCAATTGTTTTTATGGTTAGTGTGTGTCATAAATACACATTTGATAGTATTGTTATATTTATTACAGATGAGATTAGAAGCCGATCTTAATTCTCTCTCTAAAAGATCAAATCGCTTTCCCAATCTGCATTTAGGCGCTCACGGCAAACTACCTAAAGCTGTAATTAGCGATTCATACATTGCACATCTGGGCTTAGGTCAAAACTAAATCATGGAAACAACGTAACAATGCAGTAACAATAAAAATGGAAAATTAATTAAAAAAAATATGCATTTTTTAAATTTGAGATCTAATTATTTTTTCTACTAACTGCCAGTGACATAGTTATGGTTTAGTATCATGCCAAACCTTTTTCTTCCTAGAAAAAGAGTCAAACGGCATTGCAGTTGGCCCAAAAATACCACCCCTAAATATAAAGATAAAATTACTGCCCCGTTCGGACCCCACTCTCCACATTCCGCTTGCTAAGAGCATTTAACCAAATAACATTAATTTAATAAAAATCACTGACCATTGCGGTCTGTCCCATTAGCTGAACACGACAGTGTGCATGTCTCATTCATCTCAAATGTTCCCTCCGGGACATCCACTGTCTCCAGTTTTAAGTTGATCTCCGTGGATGCCATGTCGTTCACTTTGACAAACAGGTGGCCGTATTTCTTGAGGATATCTTTGGAGCGCTGCTTCCCTTTACTGAAATTAACAAAGAGAGTTAGAGGCCACTGTGCATCGTTTTACTGAAATAAACAAGAGAGTTAGAGGCTAATGTGCTAAGTTTTACTGAAACAAACAAGAGAGTTTGAGGCTACTGTGCATCGTTTTACTGAAACAAACAGGAGAGTTGGAGGCTACTGTGCTAAGTTTTACTGAAACAAACAAGAGAGTTTGAGGCTACTGTGCATCGTTTTACGGAAACAAACAGGAGAGTTGGAGGCTACTGTGTTGGCAGCTCATTCATGGACCAAGTCAGAACGCCCACGGCTATAATAAACTACGGCTATTGGCGTAACTTGGAGAAATAAGCACACACTCCGTGCGAGGTACGTGGAATACTACCACAAATAGTGGTCTTGTCTAAAACTTGGAAGCAATGACGGAATTGAATAACATAAAACCTGTGCAGATGTCCTCTGTTCCGCCAGTTAAATGTGTGGTGTTGTTTTTTTAATTAAAAAAATTCAGTGTTTTAATGCTTTGTTTTTGCACATTTTTTTCGGAATTACTAAGTTCTATTTTTAGTAATAATTTTTAAGTTTTTTTAAAATTTTAATGGTAAATGCTAATTTTATTTGAGGCATATCCGTATGTGACCAACAGATTGAAACAAGAATAAACCACACTTCACTGGCACACATTGTGATCGCTGTGCTTCTCGTGCACCCTTGTTAGTGGGGGAAAAAGTAGGGGGGGGGTTGCTAATTTTATTTGAGGCATATCCGTATGTGACCAACAGATTGAAACAAGAATAAACCACACTTCACTGGCACACATTGTGATCGCTGTGCTTCTCGTGCACCCTTGTTAGTGGGGGAAAAAAGAGGGGGGGGGGCGTGAGAATATTTTCCATGGAAAGTTAAGCTTCCTGTCCATCAAGTTAGACAGAGGCGGTTGTCTTTTGATGGATTGCTACACACAACACAACTTCACAGCACGGACTAAATCATTGTAGTACAGACCGTAGGCAGACCAAATAAGTTTATCATTGTAGTACAGACCGTAGGCAGACCAAATAAGTTTATCATTGTAGTGCATAACAGGTAGTGACAGTGCGCTAATTATTTTAGCAATAATGCAAAAATTAATAATTATGTTACAGAAGAGGTAGCACCACTACAAAAATTAATACTTGTTCTACAGAACAGGTAGTGCACTAACCAAAATTATCATTGTAGCACATAACAAGTAATGCCACCACAAAGAGTAATCATTGCAGTAACACAACACTTAGTGCCCCATACACACATTAATTGTTGCAGTACACAACAGGCCACGCCCCTTCCCACATTAATCATCGTGGTACATAGCAGCCAGTGCCGCTACACGAGTGTCGCACTTACTTTAGCTGATGGTAGACCACGACAGCGCTGAGACAGAGGATGACCAGCATGATGGCTGTGGCTACCGTTATTTTGATCTGTGGGACGGATGCCAAAAAAACAAAGTTAATCATCAATCAATTATGTAATTGTTTAGAGGCTTAGTTGTAAACAAAAGTTAACACTACACGGGATAAGCAAAGCGTGCTCTCATGTATTACGCATACATGGGCGTAAAATATAAAGAAGCCAGGAGGGATTATGTCTTTGGTGGCTAGCGGTACAAGTTAAGAAAACTAAAACCTAACCTTCCCTCCATGAAAAAAAAAAACAAACTTTTTTTTTAAAAAGTAGCGCTGCGATGCTTTTAAGCTACAGTCTACGTTTGTCGCCTACTTGTTGGCAGGGTCGGCGCTAAGGGGGGTGGCGAAGTGGGCGACCACCCATGGCCTCCCGTTTGCGGGGGCCCCGCGCGTTGCCGTAGTATGTTTTTAATATACCTAAGCCTACTGATGGTTCTTATCCAGTCAAACTCGATATTGGTAACAATGGAGACGGGGTGAGTCATTTGGGCCAGGGCGATTAACTGTTCAAGGAAAAAAAATCATAGAAATGTCGGAAATGAACAAATATCCGTTACGACGCGCCCCACTATGACCAGCAAGACCTCATAACGACTATAACGTGTTTTAGCATCCTATCGGCGGAATAGATAACGTCAACGGCCCCCAACATTCAATTTGCCCAAGGTCCCGCACCCTCCTAGCGACTGCCCCCTTATAAGATTATTTGTATTGATTCGAATAAATGGAAATGTGTCTTGATAACATTGTACATTTTCAATTTCAGCACCTAGATTGAAAAAAATTTAAACTAGACTTATTTTAACACAAGACACATGAAGTGTTTACTAACCAAAGAGTGATCCAAGACAGCTCAAGTATCTCTCTCTCTCTCTCTCTCTCTCTGAGAGAGAGAGAGAGAGAGAGAGAGAGAGAGAGAGAGAGAGAGAGAGAGACTCTCTCTCTCTCTCTCTCTCTCTCTCTCTCTCTATATATATATATATATATATATATATATATATACTACCAATAATTAAACATGAACAATTTTGGGTCGTGACCCTTTGGGTTGAGAAATCAGAGGGATTGGTAATTTGAATGATTAAATTTATTCATAAAGAAGAAAAGCTAAATGATATTTCTTTACCAAATAAGTCTAAAATTACTTTGTTTCGTTTAGGTTTGGTCAAGAGAAATATGAGTTCCAGTCTACAGTCTGATGACACGGCATAGGACAACTATTTGAAAACGGGGATCTAACCAGGTATAGGCCCAACGGGCTTCACTTCTATACACGGGGTTAAATTTTGAATATACATGGGTTACATTTTGGATATAAATGGTTGTTACAAAAGAATAACCTTATTGCCGGTTAGATATTTGGAATGGAATATTTTTCAAGTCACCGCTTATTTCGAAATTTTTAAAACGTTGAGGGTCCACAACCGTTGAACTGATCCAAAAATTCAAAGAGACTGAGCAATGCAATCATTGAATCCTGCTTAGAGGACCAGACATTTGTAAATCTTTGTCTTATAAAAAGACAGACTATCTCTTATAAACGAATAAAATTGTCTTATGAACGACAGAGTTTGTCTTTAAAACGAAAAAAACTTTTTTTTTTTTTAAACGACAGACTTTGTCTTTTAAACGACAAACCAATAACTAAAAAAGGCGGTAAATAAGTTCTTAAAAAGTTGTTATAAAAATTGCTATAAAAATTGTTGTTTTTAAAAAAAAAAAATAATACAATCAATAACAAAACTTACCACTTTTTTCTTCTTTGACCAGAATTTCTCTCTGCATAACTGCGACGTCACGTGCTCGATGACCTCAGGCATTCTGCTATCTTGAGCTAATTTCAATATAATCAACGGCACTGCTTAAAAAAATTAGTTTGATAAATTCGTTAAAATTCTTATCCTATGAATCTCTGCTTTTACGGTGCCAGACAGCTGCAGTCCACAGTGACGGTGCCAGACAGCTGCAGTCCACAGTGATGGTGCAAGACAGCTGCAGTCCACAGTGACGGTGCAAGACAGCTGAAGTCCACAGTGAGTGAGAAATGAGAAGAACAATTGGCAGGCGAAGATTGGTCAGCAGTTTTCTACTTGTAACTGGTCTACATCAATCATGGTCAGCAACTTGTTCTACTCGTTACTGTTGTACAATAACCTTGGTCAGCAGCTTTTTCTACTCGTTACTGTTGAACAGGAGAATCCAGGTCAGAGACTGTCTACTTTCCACTGCTGTAAGCACACAAAAAAAACAACAAAACCAGTTGATGTTCTGAGCAACGGTTCAAACTCTCATTGTGAAAAAGGTCTACATTGGACTATAACAGAGAGAGTTGGGTATTTCCTAGCCCCTTGATTTGAAGATGTTGACTAGAATTTATGTCAGTCCATAACGGTGGGTTTACCCTTCTTATACGTCACACCAACATCCGCTATAAATAAAACGAATTTTCATTGGTCAGAAATAGTGGGATTGAAAATGGCAAAACAGGATCTGACATTTTCAACACATAACAATCAGAGTCTTGTGTCCAAAAATTTTTCAGTCTATTTCCGAAATAATTACGAACATTCACTAAGAGATGGAAATCAAACTCATTTATTAGAAAAAAAACCCTGCCTCAATGGAGTCTTTTATTTATCCAAGCAGACAACATTATCCATGCGATCTAACATCTCACAGGGGGCTGACCCTTCTCTAACACCAAGCCTTAATTAATCTCATTTTAACGTCTTATATTAACTCGGTGGGGTAAAATATCTTCATGGTGTAAACTATTTTCAGGGACAGCAGCACATTGAAAGACACACATATTGAAAGACACACATATTGAAAGACACACATATTGAAAGACACACATATTGAAAGACACACATATTGGCGCCAACGGAACAAGTAGAACTCTTTAAACGTAAATGGAAGTTTATTCCTAAACTAGTCATTATACCCGGAGTTTCGCGGGCTTGCAATAGGACCCCAATCCTGGTAAGACCCCAATTCCAATGAGTCCCCAATCCCATTCTGAGCCCGATCCCGGCGCAATCCCTTTTCCCGGTGTGATCCCGTTCCCGATGGGATCCCCTTTTCTTGTGTCTCCGGATGCAAAGGAATCCAGATACAGTTGGGATCCCGATCCCGTCGGTGTCTTGATCCCTTTTGGATCCCGATCTCAGTGGATCTCGATGGGCTAACGATCCCGTTAGATTTGCTCAAGACCAATCTATTCATGTAGGTGTATTAAGCCGACGGGACTCGTTAACCTTGGAGGGCAACTCATCTAAGAGAAGGCAACTCATCTAAGAGAAGGCAACTCATCTAAGAGAAGGCAACTCATCTAAGAGAAGGCAACTCATCTAAGAGAAGGCAACTCATCTAAGAGAAGGCAACTCATCTAAGAGAAGGCAACTCATCTAAGAGAAGGCAACTCATCTAAGAGAAGGCAACTCATCTAAGAGAAGGCAACTCATCTAAGAGAAGGCAACTCATCTAAGAGAAGGCAACTCATCTAAGAGAAGGCAACTCATCTAAGAGAAGGCAACTCATCTAAGAGAAGGCAACTCATCTAAGAGAAGGCAACTCATCTAAGAGAAGGCAACTCATCTAAGAGAAGGAAACTCTGAAATTAAACCCGGAGATGGAATTCCGAAAGGCGGATAACATTGATAAAATGAAACATTCCGACAACTCCTGCGACGTCACTGGTGCCAAGCTGTATCATCCAATGATGTTCCCTTGGGTTATCCGGTGGCGTGGAAAGAGGCGATTTGCTGTTGGGAACCAGCTTATAATCCTTGAAAAATAATCCCAGGCCATGTGGATTTCATCCTCCGAAACCCAATCCATCGTCACATTGTGACGGACGGATGCCAGAAAAAAAAAAAAGCCTTTTGATAATTAAACAGCTTATATCATCAAGTTGGCCTAGTGAGCCACACGTCGAAGTGTAGGACTACATAGGTACTCTATCGTCTCTCGAAGACGAAAGGATGCAATATGTAAGAAAATATGAAATGAGGCTCCCGGACCCAGAGGTATGAATATTATGAGTTCAGTATCCTTCGGTATTTGAGTATGGATACTCAAGTGTTTGTGTGCTAAGTTTGGTCAATATCCATCTATCCATTAAGAATATTTGTTGTTAATTTTCTTTATATTTAAGGGGAAAAAAACAATTCGGGGCCCCCAGTTGTGACCGTTCCGGTTAGATTTTCGAAATAAAACCTGATTAGCTTTTGTAAGTAAGCTGTACGGAATAAGCCTGCCAAATTTCAGGCTTTTTTCTAAAGGGGAAGTTGAAGAATTAGCGACGAGCGCCACCATTGTTTTTGCGGGTTATTCACTTTTTCTGTTTCACCCGTCCGTCAAAATGTGACGATGGTGTACACTTCGCGGGATGAAACGACAAGGTCTGATATTTTTCTTCACAAGGATGCGCAAATCGCCTCTTTCAACGCACCTGGATAACCCAAGGGAACTTCGTGTGCGGGTGATACAGCTTGGCACCAGTAGCGTTGCCGGATTTGGTGCAACTTTCATTGTGTCAAGATAATACCGCCTACGGGACTCAATCTCGGGTTCAAATTAAAGAAGTTTTCCTTCTATTAGATGATTTGCATTCTAAGGTTAACGAGTCCGATCCACCCCGGGTGCTGGTGAAGTCTACGTTCTTGCTGGGGAATGAACTTCAGTTCACAATCTTGGAACTGACTCAGTTTAGACAACACAGCCACGCGTATTATTTCGCGTAACGTAATGAAACACAACTTAGTTTGATAATTTCCCAACAGGAAATCGTTTATTAAGAAGCGGCGAATGAATTCTAAGAATTGTTCAGACGAAGACTGTGTTGTTTCGTGTTTCTTCGTGCTTTCTCCAAACCTGTGTTTAATGTTTCTTACTGCACCGGTCTGAACCTAGACCTAAGATAATTTTTTAAACATCTCTCTTGACAAGCGCTTTAAAAGGAGGACTGACCAATCAGAGTTACAAGAAACACCCCGTGGGAGGCGTGTGCGCGATTTGGGTAGTGCGTGGGAGGTATTTGCGTGGGAGGTATTTGCGTGGGAGGTATTTGCGTGGGAGGTATTTGCGTGGGAGGTATTTGCGACCCTCCATAAACGCACCCTCCATAAACGCACCCTCGTATTTGCGTGGGAGGTATTTGCGTGGGAGGTATTTGCGTGGGAGGTATTTGCGTGGGAGGTATTTGCGTGGGAGGTATTTGCGTGGGAGGAAAGGGTTTTGCGTCTGAGGTATGGATTTGGGGAGGAAGGGATTGGCATGAGAGGTAGGTGTTTCCTTGGAAGGTAGAGGTTGTTTTATTTTTTTTGGGGGGGGGGGACGTAGGACTGTGACATGGAAGATTTTCGTGAGAAGTGGTTTAGTGGGAAGGTTGTGTGTGCGTGGGAGGAAGGTGTTGGGTTGAGAGGGAGGGTCCGCGTGTATATCGATCCTCACTGATTTTTAAAGACATTTATTGACCAACGTATTTCTTTGTAACAAAAAAACAACAACAAACTGTTGGAGTCGTGGTTTGTGCACTTTGTTAAAGTGGATCATGTTGATCCATTTGGAAAATTATGAAACTCAGGGAGTATAAAGGACCGGGGGGGGGGGGAGGGGGTTTGGGGGCGACCCATGCTAGTATCATGTATTTAATTTTTGTTCAAGTCCTGGTACATCCTGGTCAATCCACTTTCCGCTGATACTATGTGACCGCATTAATTAATCCATGTGTATCCGCTTCCTTACATGCCGTACATGCATCGTGCTGTGTGTTACAAAAAAACAACAACATCAACAACATAATTTAGGATCAGGTTTTCTACAGGGATATAGAGTAAGACTGACCTTAGACGAATGGAATGGTCATAATCGAACAAGTGGTATGGCTTTAATTGAAAGAAATGGTATGGCCTCATTTGACCAAATGGAATTGCCTTAATTTGACCAATGGAATTACCTTAATTGATAAAATGGTATGGCCTTAAATGAACCAATGTTATGGCCTTAATTGGACCAATGAAATGACCTTAATTGAAATAAATGGTATGGTCTTAATTGGACCAATGGAATGGCCGAATTGGACCAAATGGGATGGCCTTATAGCTTAGGGCTATACAATTAAATGCAATTGGTGAATACGTCAAGTAAATTAAGTTAAATATGTTTAACTTAGAAATTTAATATCCTCAACATCTTTGGTTTAATCAGGCCTGCATAACATAGGGCTCGCGGGCCGCTGGCGTATTAGGTTAAATCACAAGCTTGTTTTATATTAATTCTTGGTTCAGTGGTAACCTATTTTTAAAGCGCGCACTTTTTTTAACCGGCGTATGTTCATATGTGATGACCAGGACATGCCAAACACAAACCTTAGAGTGGGAAGGACGTCATTTCCGCTAATAATTCTCGTCTGCTCAGCACGTATTCTTCTCGAGAATATACTGAATGAAAAAAAAACCACTTGAGAATTACACGCCAGTGAAGCGGTGCCATCTGATTTGAAGTGAGACTTGACCTTAGTTAACTTATTCCACTTAGTTGCGCCCATTCAGCAATTGTTTATGGTAGATTTAGTATGTTAGACCTTTCTAAAAGCACAACGTTGATGTGCCACTGCATACGTGTCGACAGACAGGGAACGTATTTGGAAGCTCAAACCGATCTTGGAAGAGACTAAATTAACTACCCATATGAGACTATATTTTGAACTACCTAAAAGAGACTTTATTAACTACCTATAAGCGATTAAATTAACTACCTATAAGAGACTGAAATAACTACCTATAAGAGACTATATTAGCTATCCATGAGATGCTAAATTAACTACCCATAAGAGGCTAAATTAGCTACATGTAAGAGAGTTGACGTTGATAAAGCCGTAATTAGATTAACAATTGCACAGTATAGGTAAGCTTTCATTTTTGAAAACCACAAAGAAAAAAAAAAGAAAAAACAGCAAAGAATTAAAAACAATTTAGACGTTTCGGCCAATAGGAAAAGACAACATATGAATGCAAAAAAATGTTAATCATTTTTTTATCCTAGCTAAAAGACCTTGCATGAAAATAAAATAATACGGTGGAAACAAGTATATGACATAAAACGAACATTCGAAGAACAGAAAGGGTAGCGGGTGGAAGATGTTCAGTGAGAAAGATCAGAAGAACAGAAAGGGTAGCGGGTGGAAGATGTTCAGCGTGAAAGATCAGAAGAACAGAAAGGGTAGCGGGTGGAAGATGTTCAGTGTGAAAGATCAGAAGAAGAGAAAGGGTAGCGGGTGGAAGATGTTCAATGTGAAAGATCAGAAGAAGAGAAAGGGTAGCGGGTGG